GGAAGTTCTCAATGTAGTGTGCTTGCACCGTCCAAAGCCAATCCCCGGATGATCCGGGCCTGCATCTCCGAATCCTTTGGCAATCCATCTGCTCGGCACTGGTCCTGCATCTTCGAGATCTCTGGCAATCCATCTGCTCGATGTCGTTCCTGAAACGTGAGATTCTGGCACCCCCAAAATGAATTCAATGCCATGCAAATAGTAGGCAACCAAAGAACTGTCCATGCGTGCTGCAAGATCCTCGGATAAAATGGGCCTCGACAGTTCGCAAAGGGTAGGAAGGGGAAAGGTGTCCGTGTCTGTACCGCTGGACTATTCTCACCATCCGTGGGCTGGCTGCAGAGCGATGAAACCCCCCGCAAACTCTGGCCCGAAATTCCCCCCATCCCACAACTGTAATCCACACACTTCTTTTTTCGAACCCTCCAGGTCCGAGGGATTGAACCCCGTCTGTACCAGGGACGCCACCGGCTCCGGCACTGGTTTGTCTCGTGCCTTGCCAACTGAACTCCCTTGAGGAAAATTGATTGGCGCCTGCGGTGGGAAAGATTCGTCCACTCCGGCACCTCCCAGGGCTGAGAGGCCCGACATCGTAGTGTCTCCGAGGGGCCATCCACCCCACTCTGCACCCGGCGTCTGCTGCTTGAAATTAGCGCTACCAGCTGTCATATCCATTGTCTCAAATCCACCAAGTTTGAACTCAAAGACGAGGTCGAGCTGCTCTTGCCAGGGCTCTTCTCCCTGCCTTCCTCCTCTGCTTTCTTGTCCTTCTTTGACTTCTTTCCTCTTCCGGATTGGCTTGAACTGTCCTTCTTTCTCTTCTTTTTGTCCGATGAGCCTGAACTCTTGCGGCCTCGCTTTTGCGCCTTCTTCTTTTTCTTTTTCTTCTCTTTTTCCCGAATGCGTAGCGAAGGGTTCTCGTTTAACTCTTGGGGGTCTGGGGGTAGAGCTTTGTTCGCGACCCGTTGCTTCTATGTTCGCAACCGTTGGCAACCGTCCGCAGTAGAGCGCTAAGGCGCTGCCATTGGGGGAAGCTTTTGCAAGTGACTTTTCATGGATGTGTCACGTGTCAGTTTGCGACGCTATTCCATTGTGATTTGCATGAAAATGACATGTCGCGCAAGAAGCGTGATGCATTTCGCTGCACAGGCGCAGCGTTTTGTGAGATCCTCAGTTTGCTACGCAGTTCCATTGGGATTAGCATTTGGAGAGTCGTGTTTTTGGGGTGTTGGATGTGGCCGTGCCATTGGGATTTGCGTTTCAGGGTGTGGCATCGAAGCTCTGTTTTCGTGACAAGTCTCAGCTGAAATGGCGATTTTGGTGGATGGGAGTGTGCTCAGAACGGATCGAAATCATTCCAAACGTGTGGTGTGGTGCAAATTTTGTTGAAGCTCACATGAGATGATATTGTCACTTTTCGCGGCAGGCGCAGTACTTTGTGCGGGTTTTGAGGCATGGAAGTGTGATTTTCGTGGCAGGCGCAGGGAATCGTGAGGTTGCGAGGTGTGACGGAGGTGACGTTGCAAGGCAGGCGCAGTACTTTGTGCGCGTTAGACGTGTGGACGCGGAAAGATGCGTGGCAGGCGCAGGGAATTGTGAGGTTGTGAGTTGTGGTAGAGGTGACTGTCGTTGTCTCATTGGGATTGGCGTGTGAGCGGGTGTTGTTTGGAGGGGCTGGAATCGCGAAACTGCTTGGCAGGGCTGCGTGATGTGTGTGCTCCGATGGGTGTTTCCGCTTGACTTTTGGAGGAAGTCTCGTACGAAACGCTCGTTTTGGAGACTTTGACACGTGAGTTTTTGAGGAAGTCTCGTACGAAACGCTCGTTTTGGAGAGTTGACACGTGACTTTTGGAGGAAGTCTCGTACGAAACGCTCGTTTTGGAGACTTGACGTGTGACTTTGGAGGAGGTCTCGTACGAAACGCTCCGTTTTGGAGACTTGACGCGTGACTTTAGGAGGAAGTCTCGTACGAAACGCTCGTCTTGCAGCCTCGAAGCGTGACTTTTGGAGGAAGTCTCGTACGAAACGCTCGCGTGACTGCTTCTAGTGTGTGGGCAGACCGTGTCGCGACACGAGTGTCCCACAAGAGTGTCCCACAAGAGTGTTCCACAAGAGTGTCCCGCAACCGTGTCCCACAAGAGTGTCTCACAAGAGTGTCCCTTAAGAGTGTCCCACAAGAGTGTCCTATAAGAGTGCCCCACAAGAGTGTCCTACAAGAGTGTCCCACAAGAGTTTCCTACAAGAGTGTCACGCAAGAGTGTCCCACAAGAGTGTCCCACAAGAGTGTCCTACAAGAGTGTCCTACAAGAGTGTCCCACAAGAGTGTCCTGTAAGAGTGACCCACAAGAGTGTCCTACAAGAGTGTGTCACAAGACTGTCCCACAAGAATGACCGACAAGAGTGTCCCATAAGAGTGACCCACAAGAGTGCTTTTGAGAGTGTCCCACAAAGAGTGTCCTACAAGAGTGTCGTGTAAGAGTGACCCACAAGAGTGTCTCGCAAGAGAGTGTCCCATAAGAGTGACACACAAGAGTGCCCCACAAGAGTGTCCCACAAGAGTGTCCCACAAGAGTGCCCCGTAAGAGTGGCCCACAAGAGTGTCCTACAAGAGTGTCCCACAAGAGTGTCCTACAAGAGTGTCCCGCAAGAGTGTCCCAAAACAGTCCCCCCCAAGAGTTTCCTACAAGAGTGTCCTACAAGAGTGTCCCACAAGAGTGTCCCAGAAGAGTGTCCCGCAAGAGTGTCCTACAAGAGTGTCCCGAAACAGTGCCCCGCAAGAGTTTCCTACAAGAGTGACCCACAAGAGTGTCCTACAAGATTGTCCCACAAGAGTTTTCCACAACAGTGGCCTATATGAGTGTCCCACAAGAGTGTCCTACAAGAGTGTCCCACAAGAGTTTCCTACAAGAGTGACCCACAAGAGTGTCCTATAAGAGTGCCCCACAAGAGTGTCTTACAAAAGTGTCCCACAAGAGTTTCCTACAAGAGTGTCCTATAACAGTGTCCCACAAGAGTGTCCCACAAGAGTGTCTCACAAGAGTGTCCCACAAGAGTGTCCTACAAGAGTGTCTCACAAGAGTGTCCTACGAGAGTGTCCCACAAGAGTGTCCTACAAGAGTGTCCCACAAGAGTGCTCCACAAGAGTGTCCTATAAGAGTGTCCCACAAGAGTGTCCTACAAGAGTGTCCTACAAGAGTGTCCCAGAAGAGTGTCCCACAAGAGTGTCCTACAAGAGTTTCCTACAAGAGTGTCCTATAAGAGTGTCCTATAAGAGTTCCCACAAGAGTGTCCCACAAGAGTGTCTCACAAGAGTGTCCCACAA